GGTAAAAGCAAGGATGGGAGGTGGATACCAGTAACTTCCTACCCAGTACTGGCTTTCTTGCTCTAGCGCCCATTGTTCGCCGGCCTCTACCCAAAAGAGGCGTCCCACCGACCACAGAGGGAATCCTATTCCACTCTTCAAGCCAGTAGGCCCTCCCTGTGAGCCTCAACTTGGCGAGGAGGAAGCGCAGGCTTTCCTCGGTCAACTCCACCAAGCCGCGTGGATCAAATCCTACGGGTGGACCCGCAGGAGGGATACCCTGCCACAAGGTCCGTGCAGGGTCGACCTCTTCTCTGGGTCCCCATCTGATCTTGGTCTACCTCCCTTAATATAGAAGAATATAGAGAAAGCGACCGGCCCTCGGCGGAACCCTAGGGGTCAGGTCTCGACACACTACACCCGGTTCCCTTTCTTTCAAACCCCGAGAAGACGACCCTTGACGATGGAGGCGCTGGGGCTGGGTGCCTATTCGCCCTCCGTCTACCTACCTACCTACCTAATACTAACTTATTTTGTGTCACCTTTTCACTATATAAGGGTTCAAAGTATCAAATTCTATAATCAAGGGACCACTACGGTTTGGCTTTATATTAAAACAGAGTGTAGTACCAAATTGTTTATATAAAAGCAAACCGGTAGTGTCCCTTGATTATAGAATTGATACTTTGAACCTTATATTTAGTGAAAAGGTGACACAAAATTAAAGTTAGTATTAGGTAGGTAGGAGGTAGAAGAGGGCGAATAGGCACAGCCCAGCCCTCCATTCGTCAAGGTCGTCTCTCCGGGGTTTGAAAGAAAGGGACCGGTCGTAGTGAGTCGGAGACTGACCCCCCTAGGGTTTCCGCGAGGGTCCGGGTCGCTTCTCTATATTAGGAGGTAGACCAAGATCCAGATTGGGGAACCAGAGAAGGGGTCGACCTGCACGGACCTTGTGGAGGGATCCCTCTGCGGGTCCCGTAGGATTGATCCACGGGCTTGGTGGAGTTGACCGAGGAAAGCTGGCTTCCATCCTCGGCCAAGTTGAGGCTCAGGGAGGCCTACTGGCTTGAAGAGTCGGAATAGGGATTTCCCCTCTGTGGTCGGTGGGACCGCCTCTTTGGGTAGAGCCGGCGAACATGGGCGGGCTAGAGCAAGAAAAAGCCAGACTGGGAGGAAGTACTGGTATCCACTCATCCTATGCTTTTACCGCGCCATTCTGTCTCTCGAAACGGAAGACCGAGTTCGAGGGAAAGCAGTGTTGCCACGCCATTTCTCTGACGTCATGGCGAGAGCGACGAGGCTAAGAGGCTGGGTAGAGTGCGAGGTAACAAGGGAGTGGCCTTGTTCTGGGGCTCTATGAACCTTGAGGAAGTGAACCCTATTCCTGGTAAGGGATGAACCTCACCTGGTCAGGGGTAGCAAAAGGACGACTCTGGTACCGGAGGTCTAAACCTCCACGACTAGGAGTAGGGTCGGCGAAGTTGTGAGCCAACGCTTGGTTAGGTCACTCACGACTTCCAGCGTCTGGCTCTTCGGGTAGTCTTGGTGTAGTTAGACGTTTTTTCGTCACCACGTTAGGAATCAGGTGGCTTGACGTCTGGGGAGGGATTTGCTGTTGCGGGCTTTAGGCTTCANATTACTGACCTAGCCATCTACGTTTACTCAAATTGTTGTACAACATGCTGCCCCCTTTTAGTAAATTAGATTGCTTAAAGATGTGGTATGTAATTCACTTCAGACTTTTTGTTATATTCCATGGAATGCTCTTAACATCCCGATAGCAATGAATATATTAAATGCTTTGACAATAAATACATACAAAATTTCATCTGTGGAAGCCGTAGCGCTGTAAAAAGTACGACCAATCATTTTAGCCGGTCCGGCTAAAATAACTGGATGGCCTACCTGCCTGTCAGCCTTCCATCTGTGCACAAACTTATCTCGTGCCCTCATTGGTCATGTGCGCGTTCGTGTGTGTTGGAGGAGGGGCTCTGTAAGGAAGTGGCCGATTTTTTCCGGCTGTGTATTTCAAATTCTAGCGCACTCGAGCTGGTTTCTCCAAAATTACCTACCCCACCTTTAAGTACATTTGAATATGTTTTCATGTTGTCATGTTGTAGAGACAAGACACCTATGAGCACATCTCTGGTAAAGACTGGTAAAAACTATTTTTTACAGATCTGTTGGTTATATCACTAATACATTAACAAAATCACACACACCTTTGACAACGAATGTCGTGGATAACCCTATATATGACTTTTATATAGATGTTTTACTTTCTTGCATTGGTTTCACTTCTAATCCCTTTTATAGAGATAACACATTACAAAAACAGATATTTTCCTTAACTGATGTTAGCAGGAGCATATATTTATTTAAATGTAGATATTTTTTTATTTTGTAGTTCATTATCATTCCTTTACACCCAGCCACATTGTGTGTAGTTTTAATGCATATCTGCATTAACATGGGATTTCCCTCATCTGATTAACACGCCCAGTTATAGATTATATTTGAATCCAAGTAACTAGGGCTGTGAAATTTTCCAGCTCTGCCATGAGTATATAATAATTAATAATGGAGTAAACCATACATCTCCACCTCAATTAAATTATACATTTGACTGTATTATTAATTGACACACAAATATACCCAACAAGGTCAAATGCACATTGAAAAAACATACTCCCCTTTGCATGCAAACATAGCCAGTAAATATACATGTATTACATTTGTATACATAATATTTCATTCTGTCACCTCCCCCATCCTGAGCCTGAGGAACTGACCCTGGTGCAGAAGTTACTTCTTGGCTGATGCTTCTTTTGTCATGCAACCTAACCTGGTTTGTGCGAGCATCTATACTTAACAGTTGAGAAATATGAGAACAATTGAAACTCCATTTCTGAAAACGCCACTCCTATTGATGCTTTTGCATAAACGTATAATGCCTCAGAACTGCTATCTACTATGTTTTTACCATCTCTCTGCAATGTTAACTGGACCTGGAGTGATGCATGATCCAAACTTCCTCCATTAATGTGGCATCAACACATCCTACTCTCTTTTCCAACATAAAATAGATATAGGACTAACATTATAGAAAACAATATGTGACAAAAGAGCCGGTGAATTTAATTTAAAGGTGAAACAGACAATGACTACAAATTCCACTAGAATATACCGACCAGGGTTTGGGCCGCACTCCACCAGGAAATGTAACGAATGGCCACTCACAGCCAAAGAAAGTGTGAAATTGCATGAAACACAAAAGTAAAGATAAAAAAAGAGGCAAAAAAGTACTTAACCACGCATTAAAATGACTCTTCTAATCAATTGACTATATGGTGTACTGTACATATAAGAAGCCTCTGAAATCGCAAATAAAAAAGGAACAATTAAACAATGAGCCAGTATTTGCAATTACACACTGACATTTGAACCTCAAGGCAATGCAAATATCTAAGTTCACTTAGGAGAACATGCTGCCTCTTACATCAGTGTAAACTCTTGCTTGTGTCTCCCCATGTTATAATTTGTTTCCCTGATTTTTTTAACAAACAACTGCAAGGTTGGAAAGCAAATCCCTAAACAGCCAATGGAATAATTGAATATTTGCATTTATTGAAGAGTACAAATATAAGAATAAACCTTAAAAACATAAGATATGAGTGGTTTAGCTTGATCTTCCTCTGATAAAGGCAACACGCTCAATCCTACATGTTGATGAATGTAGCCTCAGTATTTATTTATTTATTTAACATATTCTGCACGCTCTCCATTATTCCCATAGTATACCCCTATATCACGTTTCTCTTCGGGATATACTATCATAGAGAGGAAATGAGACTCCTGCTTTATGGGGTCCACCACGGGCATCTTAGATATGATTATGTGACCTGACAGTCTGAGGTCTGCCTCTGACAGTGATCCATGTGGAAGGAAGCTTGTGATTGTCAGTTCAATGCTTTCTTTCTTCTGCGCCTTGCCCAAATGCTCGCCATGCGGGATGGCTCACAGAATCGCTACCGGCAAATGAACCATCTTCATGTCTCCAGCATACAGACAAAGGGAGACACACACAAGCCGGTCCCCAAATGTGCCCATGTGCGACCACGTTTCTGCTTGTATCTTCCATGTTGGGGGGTGGTGCCGGTGTTAAATATTGTGCATATGAGCCTCGACCTTGCCTTTTATGAGCAACAGTCCAGTAAAATGTAAAAACGTGAAATAAGATAATTTATCATCAGGTTTTATTTTACGTTTTCAACATAGGCTAGGTTTTTCAGCCAAGTGCTGCACAGCATTTCTGATTTACGTTATGAATTACCGGTGTTGCTGCGATTATAGGGATATTTATTTCTGGGGGTGCTTTTAATGTGGTGGTCGTTCATTAGCTCCCAGACCGTAAGCAGACATCGCAATGGAGGCATGAGAGGCGAGAAATGGGTGGGGAAGGAGGAGGGGAGCTGCGCCACATTGGAGAGGAGAAGGCAAGAGTCTGAGCGCGCGCTGAGGGATGTGTTGCTTCCGAAGTCAATTCAGCTACAATCAGTTAAATAACCTCCGGTTCTAGTTTTCAGAATAAATCTTCTACATATTAACATACTAACTGTGCTGCTAAATTTTTAATAAGGCACACGGATTTATTGTGATGAGTTGTATGTTTGTAGCAACCACACGCAATACAATACATTCAATGAATGTAATAAACTCATAAAAGTACTATTATTGCTTGCAAAGGTGTAAACTCATTATGCATAATGGTAAGAATTAAAGAAACTATAAGTCAGGATTGTATTAAAAATGTAACAAGCTATGACTCCCAGCACCAATTGAAAGATCGTAAAATAAAAGTGCTGCTCAAGTTCCAAAAATCCATGGACGTGTTAACTTATTAGAGTACAATGGGAGTGGGTATATGTGACACGTTTCTTATTTTATTTTGAAAAGACTCCACAACGTTTCCGGTAATCTTGGTGCAGAATTCGACCGGCTTTACCTAACTCACAGCTCCAGAGGCAGGGAAACACACCCGTCAGCAACGCGCATTGGAGATAAAAAAGCGCATCACGGACAAAGGAAATATGGGTGCGCTGGAGAGGGTTCATCTCCGCCGGGTAGCACAATGGATGAGCTGCTTGTGCTTCTTTTACCGGGAGACCAATTAGCCCACCTTAATGAGGTGCTGGGACACAAGATACTGCAAGCTAAACAGGCGGAAGGCTGCGTTTAATCCGTCTGCGGATCCTTTGAGCTTGCAATGGCTGTGACGGGGATATGTAACTGGATAGGGAATAATGTGCCTTTTTATTTTGTGATATTTTCCTTATTTTGTGGCCTTTCCTTTGGACAATTGCGCTATTCTGTTACCGAAGAGCTCGAAAATGGGGCACTGGTCGGCGATGTGGCGCATGACTTGGGGCTGGATATTCGAAAGCTCTCCACCCGAAAAATTAAGGTAACCTCCAACAGCGGTAAACGCTATGTGATTGTCAACCCCAAAAATGGGAAATTACTTGTCAACGAAAGGATCGACAGGGAGGCACTGTGTGATTTATCCAACACCTGCCTCATAAATCTGGAGGTGCTGGTCGAAAATCCCAATGAGGTGCACCACGTCGAGGTGGAGATTGTTGATGCCAATGATAATGCGCCGCAGTTCCCCAGAGACGAGTACCAACTAGAAATCACAGAATCTGCTTTGCCTGGGTCTCGTTTCCAAATTGAAAACGCTGAAGACCCAGACATTGGTTCCAATTCTGTTCGCATGTATCAGCTCAGCACAAACGACCATTTCGCGCTGGTGTCCAACAAACCCTCCCTGAATACAAAGCACATTGAGCTTGTGCTCAAAAAGCCCGTTGATCGTGAACAGAAGCCTTACCACCAATTCATTCTAAGTGCTGTGGATGGTGGGACGCCAGAGAAAACAGGCACGGCCACAATCAATGTCCGGGTCCTGGACTCAAATGACAATGTCCCCACGTTTGACAGCTCAGTGTACAAGGTGAAACTGTTGGAAAATTCGGTCAAAGACACCCTGGTTATCCAACTGAATGCATCTGATCTGGATGAGGGCACAAATGGAGAGGTGTATTACTCTTTCAGCAGTTACACCCCTGAGAGAGTGAGGCAGATGTTCAGCATGAACACCAATACTGGAGAAATAAGAGTGAGGAGCAATGTTGACTATGAAGAGACCAACTCCTATGAGATGTACATCCAGGCGATGGACAAGGGCCCTGGTGCCGTGGCAGCACACTGTAAGGTGGTCGTAGAGGTGGTTGATGTAAACGACAACGTTCCCCAGATAGTGCTGTCATCTCTGTCGAGCCCCGTGAGGGAGGATGCCCGTGCAGACACCGTAGTGGCCCTTATTAGTGTGACCGATCGAGACTCTGGCGCTAACAAGCAGGTGAGCTTAGAGATCCCAGCAGGCCTCCCTTTCAAGATCAAGTCATTCAGAAATTACTACACTCTGGTTACCTCAGCCTTCCTGGACCGCGAGACCACTGCTGCCTACAATGTCACTCTGAGTGCCACAGATGGAGGGAACCCTCCCCTCTCCTCTCAGAAGACGATACAGGTGGATGTGGCTGATGTTAATGACAACCCACCCCGATTTGAGCAGACCTCGTACACCGTCTATGTGGGTGAGAACAACGCCCCTGGAGCCTCTTTGTGTACTGTGAAAGCTCAAGACGCAGACATCAAAGAGAACGCACGCATCACCTACACAGTGCTCAATGACAACAACCATGGCATCCCTGTCACCTCGTATGTGTCTGTGAAGGCCGATACAGGGGAGGCGTATGCCCTGCGAGCCTTTGACTATGAGTCACTGAGAGAGTTTCACTTCCAGGTCAAAGCCCAAGATGGGGGCATTCCTCCACTCAGTCGCGTCGCCACCGTCTACATCTACGTAATGGATCAGAATGACCATGCACCACTGATAGTCAACCCTCCCGGCAACGGCACACGCTCCTTGGAAACAGTGCAAAAGAACGCAGAGCCTGGTGTCATGGTTACCAAAGTGGTGGCGTACGATGCAGACGCAGGTCCAAACGCCTGGTTGGTGTATGTGCTGGAGACGGCCACTGACCTGGACCTGTTCAAGGTGCACGAACACACAGGGGAGATCAGGACCACTCGGAGGATCCTGGAGGACAACTCCACATCTTTCGGTCTGACTGTTGTGGTAAAGGACCATGGGCAGCCTAGCCTCTCCTCCACTGCCACCATCAATGTGGCTGTCATGGAGGTGCCGCCCAAAGTGGCCCCTGACCCGAAGAGAATCATACGCCCCCACAGCACGCTGCTGTTCTCCAACGTGACCCTCTACTTGATCGTGGCTCTGAGCGCCACCACATTTGTTTTCCTTGTCACTGTTGTGGTGCTGGCAATCGTTCGTTGCCATGCCTACTGCACCCAACCTGGGTCTTGCTCTCCTTGCTGTGTGTCGCAGAAGCCCCCTCCCGATGGGGGGAGCAGCAGCGTGAGTGCTGGTGGGGTAGGCGGCGGAGGACCTGGAGCACAGCCCAATAGCAATGTGATGCTTCGGAGAGACCTCAAAGTGGAGCCTCACTACATCGAAGTGCGTGGTAATGGCTCTCTAACAAAGACTTACTGCTACAAGACCTGCCTGACAGCCACCTCCGGCAGTGACACTTTCATGTTCTACAACACGGGACGACCTATCAGTGGCACCTGGGGCAGCGGTGCCGACCGCTTCTTCACCAATAACAGTGGATTTGTACGCAGACTGAGCATGCCTGATGCCTCCATGCAACTCTGCCCAGAGGTGGGTCATTCATTCTTTATGTTTACCTTTGTGGGAGGTTAGGACTGGAAGGTCATGAATCACCATGTTTACACATTAGTTGCTTTAACGTACATAGGGCTGCAAAAAAAACACCTTTTTTATACAATGTGGATTCATCTGCAGAATATTTTCTCGATTCATTGTATGCACTATAAAATACAAGAAACAGAAAGTCTGTAGTCTTCTAATGTTTTGTAATGTCAGTGAGAAACCTAATGATATTCAGAATAATATGATATTTAAGAGGCTGAAAACAGCATTTCCTGACATTTGTCCAGAAAAAAGAACAATCAAGAATAATCGATGATCAAGAGATGTTAAGATTATCTCCATCAACTCAATCGATAAGTCAACTAATCGTTGCAGCTCTACTTGTATGACATATTTGCTAGCTCTAAACAATGTAACATCCCTTTTTAGTACATACTAAAGATGACTTTTCATTAGGTCTATTGCCATAGCAGGCATTGTCATAATTTCTGTCTGTTTGATAGTGTTGCTGCAGGGCGTTGATATTTCTGTATGTCAAGTTTGATCGCCTCCTGCAATGAATTGAATCCTTGCGTGCATCATTCTCTCTGTGCATTTCCCACTTGTGCTGTGCTGTCGCCCAGCCCAGCTCAGCACTCACACTACATTAGTGTCAGGCCTGATGCTTTTCAGGGTCTTCTGTTATTTCTGATGATTCAGAGATTTGTGTTTCAGTTTGAGGTTGTCATCACATCTACACTAGGAACAGGTCACGTAGTATTCACAACTCTCTCATTCTCTGTGCAAGTGTGTTGGACTTTAGTGTGTGGGGGCAGACTTGTGTGTGTGTGAGTTGTGTGTGACTGTTGCACTGGAGCAGTAAGGGTTAAGTGACTTGATCAGAGGCCCTACATGACTAGTTGTTTCTTCTGAACTTGCACAACTATTCTATATGAGTTAAACAGTGAATGCCTTCACCTGCCAAGCCATATCTAATGATTTAATTCCTCACACACTACATCAAAAATCCCTGAATTACATGACATATTGCAACAAAAAACACCAACACTATTATCACTGATATCGCTGTTTAATTGACATGATGCTAATCGAGATGCTCTATATACATGCTTTCCTGAAGATACATGTGCCATTTGTTTAGACCTCTAATGTTGACATGTTCATGTTGGAGATTTATGGAATCCATGTTGGAGATTTCTGGGTATATATTTTGCCTTTATGCAGGAGACGTTAGATTAGAATCTAAAAATATTGGCATAATGTATTTTTTCTGTCCGATTATTAAGGCAAATGCTGCTAAGGTTAGGCGTTCATCTCTGGATGCATCATCCTTATTGGTTGCCAGCCACTGGTACATTAGTTACAAGAAAATCTCCAACCAAGACTAATGTAGCACTGTAAATTAAATTAACCTCCGGCCGCTGTTCCTTAGCCCTGTAAATTAGATTTACTCAAAGATGCTGGTTCTCCCAGCAGGAAACACTCCCCTCTGAATTGAACTGAAGAACACAATGTGCCAGCATTATCTGGGACACTTGCTGCTGCCTGAGCAGGTTTGTGTCTTAAACACAGCTTTTTTGTTTGTTTTAAGGGTTATTCCATTACGAGGCTACAACCCACATGATGCTGCCAAATTTTTGCATGAATGCAGCTGTTCACATTATTTCATACAGTGCAGCTAGACGGTACCTATTCATGAGGAAAGTGATGAGTAGGCATAATCAGGCATGAATGATTAGCTCATTAAAATAGGGCTTTCCCCCTATGAGAACTACTGTATATGGTATTTTTTTAATATGAAGGCATTATCATCAGCAAAATGTGTCCATCATCAAAGGCAAAGGAATAGCCGTCTTGGCAGCCTTAACATAATGTCCAAAAATCTCAATACTTTTAACCAGAGCTGCAACTAACTTATAACTAATCTTGTCAATAATTATTTCCCTATCAATAATTTTTGTCCGAAAATTGGAAGAAATGTCAATCAAAGTTGCTTCAACATCTCTGAATATCTTCTCGTACAAATTTTAGTCTATAACCCAAATGTATTAGTATATGATGTAAAAAAAAACTTTGAGAGGCTAAAAAAAGCATATAAATGTATTTATATCTAAATAAATCTTACCATTTACACCATCACAGCTCTGATGAGAGCTAATGTAAGATCATTTAAAATAGTGTTACATATGTTGTTAAAGATTACCCTCATCCAGGCAATGTGTTTCAATTTCGGTATAGTAAATATCCAAGGTATGTAATATAGAAGAAATTAATTTGTGAAACATATTGACCAGTTGTAACATGCATTGTCTTACACTCAGACACATTTGCGATGCTATACTGTACTGATATTGTTTATATAAATGCCTCAGGTAATACAATGGTTGACAGTAAACACGTACATTTACTCAAATACTTTACTTAATTACAATTTAAGTTCCCTTATTTGAGAATTTTCATTTCTTGCCACTTTATACTTTTACTCTATTGAAATGCACAGGAAGTGTTTCATTTTTTACTTAACTACAATTATCCCTTAGCTTAAGTTACATTGAAAATTCAAATTAATAATGAAAATGTACAATTACTAAATATTTTATGAACATATTAGTGCATCAATTATTATAATTCAATAATATAATACTGTGTACTGAATTGTTTTATGATTAGGCCACTGTGCAGGATGAGTCATTTTAATTGTTGTACTTTAAGTATTTTTTGACGCAAATACGTTTGGTTACTTTCACTTTATACAGAGTAAATCTACTGTTTTGTATTACTGCTTTTACTTTAATAAACGATCTAAATACTTCATCTACTACCCGGCTAATATAAACCAGAGGTATAGGATGCGGTTGCCCTGGCGATAATGGCTCTTGCTTATTGGTTTTCAAAGGCAATTATTCACCACAGGTACTGCTGGGACTTCCAACCACTCAGCTCAGCCCGGGTTCATCAGGAGCAGACAGAGACTCACAGTTACACACACACACATACACATCTGTCTGTGCACACACACACGGCCACCCAGCACTCAGGGAAAGGGCATTTCCCCCCCCACTCCCACATTTATAGAGTCGCAGAGTGACACTGTCCGCAAAAACTCGTCAAAATGGCGTCCAGTTACTGCCCTTTTTCAAGTCCTGTGTCTGTGGATATCAATATGCATATGTGTGTGTGTGTGTGTGTGTGTGTGTGTGTGTGTGTGTGTGTGTGTGTGTGTGTGTGTGTGTGTGTGTGTGTGTGTGTGTGTGTGTGTGTGTGTGTGTGTGTGTGTGTGTGTGTTTGCGTGTGCGTGTGCGTAGTTTTTTGTTACTTTGTTCTGAATGCTGAACCTGCTGCTCCTCACAGAGAGAAGAGGGGAGAGGCTGTGTGAATTACTTTACTTTGTGG